AAAAGAGTTCCAACCCCTGCTCAATCCTTAGGGTTTGGAGGGAAGTGCTGGTCTGGGCGCCCAGGGCCTCCGCCGAGGGAAAGGACTGCACTGTCTGCCCAGGGGAGGCTGGTCCCCTCCCTGGGCCCCCCAGCTCCTCCTCCCTCCGCTTTCCCCCCACCCCCCAATACTGTAGCCCTTCCTATGGCCAGAGTGGGAGTGGGGGTGGGGGTGGGGAGCGGGCAGTGGAAGGACAGGAACTGGCCTCCTGTCTGGCCCAGCTGCCCTCAGGGCCCTGCCTGCCCGCACTGCTGAGGAGGAGAACCCAGACCCTTCCTTCTTGGCCACTGATGTTGGCTTTGTGAACAAGTGAGTGAAAGTGGAACTGTGTTGCAACTTTCATAGCACTTAGAGCAAGGTGCTGGTGTTGTGTTATCTTTGCCTAAAATGGCATTTGTGCATATCTTCTAGATCATTGTTGTTTAGTCTCAGAATAGCCGCACTCCTGCCTGTGTAAGCAGGGATGAGGGTTGGCTGTGGAGGGCATCTGAATGAACTGTATAACTTTCAGGTGTTAGCTCTAAAAGCTGAAAGGCCTGAAGAGTGGTTCTGACCAAATGAGCATTTTAGAAACCTGCGTGTCAGACGTTTATGAGTCTGGGGAGAATGAGCTGCAGCTCTGTTTTCTGCTGCGAATGTTCTCAGGGCCAGCGTGTGTCGTCTGTGTGGCCTGTGTGGCTCACTGGTCACAGTGCCCAGGCCTAGTCAGGAGGGTGGAGGCCAGAGGTGCTTGTTTACAGCCCTGAGCAGCCTCCTGAAATGCCTGTCCTCCCACAGATTCCCCCAGGCCTCTGTGGTCAGGGCGAGTGGCTGGGATTGTGCCTTCTGCATTTCTCACTCACGTGGGATCCTTTGGGACAGAGGATTAGATAGGCCTGGAATGGTATTGTTTTGCCTTATGCCATAACCTCGTTTCTTTCATGGTGACAGAGTCAGGGGAGCTCCAGCTGTCACCCATCTCTCACTGTTCTCAGCCACAGGCTTGGGCAGGGTCCCAGGATGAGCCCCCGCAGGTTCAGCCTGGCTGTCTACACACTCAGCGTCTCCCTCTCCTGCTATTGCCTGGTTAGCTGAAGGGTTTTCAGACTGAGGGCGTAGCTGCCGGAGCCCTCCCGAAGGCCTTCCAGCCCAGCCCAGCTCACGGGGGCCTGATGGTACTGCCTGCTGTGCTTCTGCCGCCTCCCTCTCCCCAGGCCCAGGGTGGCCGGTCACATGCCAGGTAGTGGCGGGCAGAGAGGGAAGGATAGGCCACAGCACAAACGCTCATGGAGCTGCTGCTTCATCCTCCTTTTTAAATTAAGGCTCATCCCAAATTGCTCCCAGTGCCAGCAAGCAAAAAAACCCACACAAATTCTTGAGTGTTTTGTGCAGATTTACTGAAAACAACTCTGGCAGCCTTATAGGAGTTCTGCAGCTTCCACCTAGAACAGTATTTCATGGAAAACCAGTCATCTGGGTCTCTAAGGAGCAGGGGAGCCAATCATGTGACATGGCAGGAAAGTTGAGGTTCAGCCACATGTAGCAAGCAGATCATATTTTCAAAAACTTTTGCCTGGGGTGTTTTCCTCTCGGGGGTCAGCATCCTTTTAATCATATTCTCCTGCCCCTTCTCTCTCCAAAGCACTGTATGGTGTGCAGCCGTCATAAGCAAAAGTAATTGAAATTGTTTTCAAAGCTACATGATGCTGACCAATGGGGCCATAAGGAGAGCGTAGATATGGATTGTATGTATGTGAACGAGTGAAAGAACGCGATTTTGTTATATAACTTTTTTAAATCAGGAAAAAAAGAATTGGGTGACAATACCAGAGCCCGGTCACAGCTTAGCTGCTCAGTTCAGTGTCCTTTGTGCTTTTCGTCCCTTCCGGACACTGCCTTGTTAGACCCACTCTAGAAAGGCCCGACTGGTTTCTGATGAAGCGGCCTGGAGGATGGCCTGGCCGAGACAGAGGCTGTAAGTCCCCTTGTGCTTTACAACCAAGTGCCCATCGCTGAAGCTCAGAACAGTTACCTTCCCCAGCAGCCTGAACTCATCTCTCTCCATACCCAGCTTGGTCTCCAGAATTCAGTCAAAGAGTAATTGACAGTTCATGACACTTGCACTGGTTCCTAGAAATAGACCTGTGGGTCCTAGGAAAAGAGGATAGAGACTCCTGCCCTCCCCTGTATCCAGAACAGCCCACTGCGACTACAGACACTGGAGGTCATCCAGCCGATGGGCAGCTGTCGGGGGGTAACCCCTCCTTGGCCTCCGGGAGGAATTCGGCACTAACTTCCGCCTGGTGACCGGTCCTGACAGGAGCAGGAATCGAGCCTCTTCTGTGCCGTCCAGTAGCTTCAGTGCAGCACCGTGGAAAGGGAGCTTCCCAAGTTCCCCACTTTCCCCCAGGGAATTACAGTGCCTCATGCCATTGTCACCAGCACCACTCCCAAAATTTAGCTGCTGTTTAGTTGTTTTCACCTTTCAAAAAGCAAAGCCAGGTGTCAAGGTGTATCTTACAGTTCACAGAACTGTAGAGAAATGGGGTGTTTGCGGCTGGATGGAGAGTCCTTGGGTGTAGAGAGAATACGAGGACCCTGCTGTGGCATCACACCAGCGGCTCTCAGATCCCCCGAGTTGGCTGCCCCGCAGCTGGCGGAAGGCGGTCTAAGCACAGTTATGGGGGTGCACAGTGAGGACAGACCGGAGCCTCTCCCCGCCAGCCCTGTCTGCCTTTCACTAGTGAGCTGTTGAGTGAACCAGGGCCAAGTCAACTTCAGGGGTAATCCACTTCCTGCTACTTGTGTTCACCCAGCGCCATTCATCAGAGGAGAGCCCCCTGGGGCCGTCTCCTGCATCACCCCAGTATCCAGAAGAAAGGGAAGGGAGGGGACAGTGGGGCTCCTCCTGCCCCTTACAAAGCGTTGGCGCGTATGTCGTTGGCGCGTACGTCCTCCACCCTCAGCTGGCGCCCTCACGTCAGACCCTGAGCCGGCCGCAGGCTTCCCCCATCGGTGGGCCCCACTCCACACACAAGAGGATGGTGTTTGCTAGATGGAAGGTGCACATTGAGGCCATCCATGCTTCTGCTGAGAAACCCTGTAGGAGGAAGACAACTGGTATCCAGTATCTTCACGTAATGAACTTATCAGTAAATATAACACATGAGCTCATTAATCTTAACTTTGCTTTTGGACCAAGTGGGAATGCTGCTTCTCAGGAGACAAAAATTTCATCTCTGTTCTTTTCCTTAAACCCAATCCCAATTTAGAGTCAAACATTGCCGTGCTCTCCCTGGGAAGCAGTTAATAATGTGTTCTTTCACACAGCGGCTGGGCCAGGCCTCGCCTGGCCGCTCAGCCCCCGGGCCGTGTGCATGGGCCATGTACACAGCACGAGCTCAGGGCACCAGGGCCGCGCGGTGAGTGGCAGCTGAGGAAAAGCCTCTGGGTGACGTTAATCTTCAAAGTTAAGGCTGTTGAAACTTTTGTCCATCCTGGCCACCCAGTCTTCACTTCAATTTCTGTTATTCTTCTAAAACCACTGTCTCTACCCTTCATCACTGAGAAGAAAAGAGATTGCGTGGAGATGGATGGGTCACAGTTTGCAAGGGGTGGCTGCTGTGGCCATCGGGATCTAGGCTTAAAAGAAAGACATTTCTGGAAGAGATGCTGTTTGCTGGGAGAATGAGTTGAGCATCGACCTTGGCAGGGGAGATGTCTGCTCCAGGTGCAGGGGTCGGGGGTAGGGAGGAGGTTTAGGAAAGGTTTCAGATTCACCTGCAGGTTGGTCCTGTGGACCTGGTCTAGGCCCATGGCCTGGAGGCGTGGCCAGATTCAACTGATGGGAGACGTGGTGGCAAAGAGCCAGCCAGCACTGCAGGTGTCTCCCCGCCCAGCTCTTCTCCCCTGCGCCCCCCTCTCCCTCAGAGACAGACCCAGGGGATGGGAGGTGTCTACCCCCAAACACATCCACTTACCTGTCAGCATTCCTAGAAATGAACCAGAAAACGGGAAGGAATGGGTCACATGCTGATGCCCTGTGTGTTCTGTGTCTTCTGAGCCTCTGCTGACTCCAAGGCCTCCTTTCGTTGTTTCCTGTCAGAGGCACCTCACCTGTCCCATCTTCCTGCCCCTCCTTCATGCTTGGTTTTGCCAGCCCCACCAGTGTCCCCCTTGGCCCTGCAGCCTCCTCCGCCAGTGGGAGGGTAGGGCAAGTGGAAAGGCCTGAGTGTGGCAGCCTCAGCCTCCTGCCTGCCAGGCGAGGTTAGAAGCACCAGGCTCCTCCGAGAGGATGATTACAGCTCAACATTTCTGTTCTTTCCTCTCTATGTATGTAGTACCTTTTCCAGCACTTGAAATCCATTTCCCTTTGAGGTCCCCCCACTCACTTGTGGGTTGTGGTTTGATCACTCCCACCATCCCCCAAACCCCAGCTATACAGGAGGTAGAATGTAATTTAAGCCATAATAATTTCTGCTCCCTCTCTGCCTCTTGGAAATGGTAGGTGTCCTGGGGTGGATATTGCATTTTGCCTAAGCCAGAGAAAGTGCTGAGCTGGCAGCTCTGTGCCCTCCCGCCTACATGGTGGCTGGGAGGCAGGGGGCTCAGAGCCCACTCATTTCCCAGGGAAAGGGGGTATGTCTCGCTGCAGCAGCCTCTTCCAGGGTTCTCCTTTCAGGGTCCAGGCAGGAGCAGCATTAAATGCAGAGCCGGCCTCTGAGCAGCTGCCCTTGGACATTTTGAGGCCATTGGACTGACTTAAGGAGGGGCTGTGAAACGTGGAAGCACCGGCCCTCTTGTTACAGGGCGGGGGGAGGGGGGTGATGTAATAAACTCTTCAGCAGCGGGGGGCCCCTGCTGTGACCACCCACTCACTGAGATGCCCCCGCCCCATCCTCCGGACCAGATTGAGAGCTGGGCTTTGAGCATCGGGAGGCCGCTCTAATGGTCTGTTTTCTCTGCTTCTACCGCCGCTGCAGGTTACGTGTTCTGTATGTTACATCGCCTCCCCGAGCAGCATGACTGTACGTTTGACCACATGGGCCGCGGCCGAGAGGAAGCCATCATGAAAATGGTGAAACTGGACCGGAAAGTGGGGCGCTCCTGCCAGCGCATTGGGGAGGGGTGCTCCTGAAGCCCAGGCGCGGCCGCCACACGACGCTGTTCTTAGCTCACTAATGTTAGCCTTATTTAGGACAAAGTCAGCCAGACACCTTGTACGGGGCACGCGTCAGACTGCAGCCAGCCTGTTTCCTTTCTTTAGCCAGCCATCCTGGTACTGTAGTTTAGGGGTTGATGGTGGTTGAAATTGATTTCTGGCTGGTTACTAAGGTGCCTGCTAGCCATTGTATAAAATTAAAACATGAAGAATATTTTTTTTTGAGCATGGCTAGTGGATTTAAAACAACACATACCTGTCACTGCTGGAGTCAAACTTATAAAAAGCCTTAAGCGGAAAGTGTTCCAGACGAGACTGAGTGATTGGAAGAGCGGAAGCTGATGTTAACTTCCCACGACGCACATGGCTTTGCCAGAAACTCTGGTTAATGTCCGGCCTTTCACCTCTTCGCTTATCCTTACTCCCAGTAGCCAGGACACCTGATGGCCACGCGTGCCTTGGCCACAGGAGGCTGCTGAGACGCCCCGTGGCTGGGCTGGGTGGTGGCCTCGCTCTCCCGCAGAGCTGGAAATGGGGGTGGGGGGCAGGTTCTTAGGAAAGTCTTATTCAATTTTTTACCTGACTTGCTATGAAAAAAACTCTCTCATCACACGAGAAGAGAAACAATAACCTCACTTTGAAAATTAGCTCCACTCAAGACTAGTCCACATACGAGAGCCACCTTTCTACGCAGGTCATGAGAAGCGGCCGGGGGTGCCCCCTGACCCACTGGCTCTGGTTTGCTTTTGCCACGTACAGGGATCTGGCAGTTGATCAAATAAGGCTAATCGCAGCACAGCAGCTGCAGCTGGGGTCTGCAAACTGGCCTCTGCAGCTAGATTTCTATATTGGAGTTTTTTAAAAGACGTTTCATAGCCAGCAGGAATCAGTGGTGGACGAGTTGGGGAGCGCCTGGGCAGCTGCTGCCGCAGATGGGCCTCTTCCCGCAGGAGCCTGCTCGGCCCCCGAGGGGCAGAGGACGATGGGCCCGACCCCATGTCTGTGCAGCCCCGCTGTCCAAGGACAACCAGCCCACATCTACCACTTGGCAAGCTTAGTAAGGGGGCAGCGTGTGTAACAGGACAGCGGGTTGGATCTGTCCAGGACAGTGGTTCGTGGCCGTGGCCCAGCTCCGGGATATTTGCTCTGGCAGGTGGGTAGGAGGGCACGGTGTTCAGCTGTGCCTCTAGATGCGGGCAAAGAGGAGCTCAGAGGCTGCAGTTGCTCAGGCCAGGTGGGGAGGGTGGCGATGGGCCTGTGTGTCCATGTTGGGGATCAGTCCCAGTCAGGTGGGGTGGGTGGATAGATAGGATCGAGATTCCCTTGAATGCGGGGCAGGGGTGAGTGTCCCGGGCCCTGTCTGACCCAGGTTGGTGGCAGTGGACGGCTCCTGCAGAGGCCGTTGGCATCTGCCCGCCCACAGGCTAGGGCAGTAGTTGAGCCCGGCAACTTGTCCTTGTATATCACAATAAGCACTTCAACCCTGTCTGCAAATTGATACCTATAACTGCAAATGTGATTTGATCCAAAACACTGAAATAGGAAATCATGTTCTTCCCAACCTCCTCCTCCCACCCCACCCCACCCACAGAGTGGAATCCGCTGCAAAATCTCCAGCCTTAATTCTTGCTTCAGGACCCAGACCAGTGTCTTGCTCTAGGGCAGCCCAGGGCAGAGGGGCCGGGCCTGCCCGCGTTTACCACTGTTGTCAAGCCACGGCCCTCCGGCCAGTCCATGGCCATCCTCAGTGAGGTGGCGCCCAGGCCCCCGCCACGCTCTAATCCCCACAGGCCACCCGAGCCCTCCGGCCCTCCTCAGGCCCCACCGGCCTCGGGCAGCGAGAGGAAGCAGGCTCTCTGGGGAGCTGGCCGCACACAGGGCTCCAAGCCCAAGTTCACTTCCTGATGGTAGAGCTCGGGGGAGGGGGGCTTGTTCCCCTGCAGTTATCTGTTCTGTGAAGTTTGTTAAATGTAAGGAAAGCTTAAATTCTTGTATCTTTAAAAGAGAAAATCTTATTTAACCCTTTTGTGTTCTAGATTTACTTACACACATAGCCTAGAGCTCAGTTTTAGTTTTAACATTGTGAAAATATTAAAAGAATCTTGTAACTTTATTCTTTTTTCTCCTGCTGAAAAAAAATTAAACCAATCGTATGAAAGTTTGGATTTCTCTGTTTCGCCGGCTCTCCTATGTGCCACCTAGATAACCGGTAAAATGGTGAAAGGTCTTCCTGGCAAGAGCTGGGGGCTTTTGTGTGTAGAGGCTCGCTCTGCATTGTCTGGGGTCCTGAGTCCAGTAAGCGTCCAGGCTGAACAGCTGCTCCCCTGCTCTGTGGGTGGTTCTGTCTTGGGGCCTGGCACAGGGAGCTCTGTGCTGGGCCAGGCTTCTGCTGGCAGCAGGGAGGTGACATAGGGTCCTGGGGGGTCGGGGGCAGCATCTGTGCGACCCAAACCACACCCAAGGATGGAAGGACCGGGAGGATGGAGGACGCAATCTCCCTGAAGGGAGGGTCAGAATGATGTATTTGCTGTGTGAACTCCTTGGCGCAGAGGGTACACTTACTGCATCTTACGATGTTTAAAAACATGTGGTGGGGAGTGGCAGTCCTCCCCACCACCTTTAAGGCAGAAATACTGGCCACATAGTTGCCATGACAATGATGAAGCATCCTCAGGAAGTCAGGGGTGCACAGCGGAGGAGAACAAGCCAGCAGGCAGAGCGCAGGGATCTGGTGGCCTTGGAACGCGCCACCCCTGGGAGGAGGCACGGTGGGACTCTGCCCGGCGGATCAGGAAGGCTTGTTTATGCCAGTAGGAGCCTGGCAGAAGGAGGGGTGGGAAAGGAGAGTGCTCCGGTGGGCGGCGCTGAGGAACCCGAAGCCCCTGCTGGGGCACCGAGAGCCCCCTCACCAGAGAAGCGAGCGCCCCACACAGACACCAGAGCAGTAGGAACACCCAAGAAAAGCCTGCAGGGGCCTCGGAAAATGTACTGTGCAGCCAGTCTCAAAGCTTCCTGAGAAAGTGCTCCAGGAAAAGGACTAAGCAGAGAAACATGGAAACACAGGGTAGTGCAGTGAAGGGACAACTGCACAGGCTGGGCCAGGCCTGCAGCACCTCGTCCACACACACCGGGCAGGGCCAGGCCTGCAGCACCCTGAACACACCCACCGGGCAGGGCGCCAGGACTGCACGTGGCTCTGATGGGTCTGAAAGTGTCAACACTTGGTTTACGCTTCTATCACTAGGTTTGGATATGAATCTTAGAAAGTTACACAAATAAAAATAGACAATTTACTGTAAAACAAAAACTAGGAAGAGGAACCTGCATGACTCGGCTGTGACTAATATCGACATACAAATGTAAACACACAAATAATGAGTGTTGCTCTGGTAAAAATTAACGATGGAACTCTATTAGGAGACAGGAAAGTCTGTGCATGTGTGTGTGGAGTGTAAAAGGGCTAAGTTCCTGTCGTCTGCAGAGGAAGTCAAGTGTCTGAAACAAAATTCAAGAGAGCAGTACGTTATTTAGAAACATAAATGCAGCTGAAAAAGCTATAAGCCCAGCCATTGTCTTAGGGGTGGGGGATGGGAATGAAGGAAGCTCTGTTATATTTACTACTCTTAGACTATACACATGTATAATGTTAATTTTAAAAATTCACATTAAAAAATGATGGAAGAGACCAGCGCTCCTAGGGCGCTGGGACACTGAGTCTTCAGAATCCAGCGCGTCCCAGCTCTTGCCCAAAGTGGGGGGTGTCCAGGTCCCCGGCCACGCCAGGTGGAATAGTACTGGTTTCCTGGTCAGAGCCCAGGTTTGGGAAGAGGCAGGTGGCAGGCGCACCGCGGGACCTTTCTTACGCAGCACACCTTGGGACTCGTTCACCCAGTTCATTGTGCGCCGTCTGTGTTTCCTGAGCATGGGCTTGGCTGACTTTGCCAGGCTGGCCTGCAGGCCCCAGCGTGTGTGGGCCTCTGCTGCTCTGTCCCCAAACCCAAAAGCACCTGCTGGGGGTGTTGGCCAGTTCCTGGAACTTCACCTTTCCCGTGGCCTAAACCCTGCTCCTTGGGTTTATACCTCAGGGTGTTTCCAGTCGGTTACTGGAGGGAGTTTGCGGCCAGTGGACAGTGAGCCAGGAGTAAGAGGCGGAGGGCCTGCGGGCTCCTCCCTGGGAGACGCCGCTCCCGCCCCACCGGCTCAGAACTCTGGCCAGAGCACAGGCAGCTTCTGAAACGGGCCTACAAAATAACACTGACAGGCCACCCTCAGGATGTGCGAGAGGGCCTGGCTGGGAAGGGGGTGACACGCAGCCGCTGGGCTCAAGGGGGCCTCACAGGTTTGGGGTTAAGCTGTTGGTGAAGGAGATGTTCCCCTGACTTGGGGCTTGTGTTCACGCGTGGCCAGTGATGAACCGTCCTGCTGGGTTCACATACGGGAGGCCAGGCTGGGCGAGTGGTTCCACCTCCAGGCGTCCCCATGCAGCCCTCCTGGGGTGGGAAGAGCCTTGGCAGCCCGGGGGCTTTGGGAACAGGAGGGCCGCAGGGTCAGATATGACACTGCCAACCTCCTGGGGAGGGGCTTTGGAGTCCACAGGCCCAGGCCCCCCAGGCATCAGAAGGAGCTGGGGGTGGGTGGCCCCAGACTAGGAGAGGTGTCTGCTCGGGTGACACAGCACCCAAAAGGAAAGGGCGGTGACCAGGACACAGGCCTGGACGATGGAGGCTCCTGATCTGCCTTCTGAGCCCCATGAGGGGCTCCTTCCAGCCCTGGGCCCTGGGTGGCCCTGATTCAACACCTGCTGTGTGCTCGGCACCCTTCCGGGTACGGGTGATACAATGGTGACCAAAAATACTTGGGGAGAGGGGGACAAAATAAGGAAGTGCCGAGAATATTACAAGGGAACAGATATACGATACAAAATAAGCGGGTGGGGATAGTTAAGTGCAGGACCTGTGGCATTGCCTCTGAGCTGGGGACCACCGGGGGTTTGAACTGTGGAGGGGCGGGGTCTGCTTTGGGCTTTAAGGAGAAGAGCTGGGAAGGGAACAAGGGCAGCAGCAGCAGGCCAGGGCGGAGGGTACCTGATAGGTGGGGGCAGGGGCAGGGCTCAGGTAGCAGGGGTGGTAGTGAGACGAGTCAGATGCTGGACTGGCTGAAGATAGAGGTGACAGGAGTTGGTGACAGTTTGGGTGTGCTTGAGCGAGGGGACTCACGGGTGACTTCATGGTTTTGGCCTGAACACCTGGAAAGGTGGAGATGTCATTCACAAGACACACAGGAGTACAGCTGGGGTTGGATGGGAACAGAGGTGCAGACTAGACATCCAGGTGGAAATGCGGAGAAGACGCCTGGATGTACAGCATTCTTGAGTCATTGGCATATAGTACGTAAAGTCACTGCCTGGCTGAGGTCACAGAGGGAGGGAAGAAAGATGGAGGAAAGGAGATGGATGGAGGCTGTCCCAGGCACATGGAGTGTTACAAGGTCCAGGGAGACGAGGAGGAACCGGCAAAGCAGACCGAGGAGAAGCTGCCAGCAAGGGAGGCAGGACCAAGAACTTGGAGTCCTGACATGTTTCAAGGGGAAGGGGGTGGCCACCCGTGGAGCCGCTGCTCGGGACCCGGCATCTGGGACTGGCCCCTGGGTCAGAGAAGCTGGGGAGCCTGGCTACGGGCGCGTCCTCTTGAAGGAGTTTTGCTGTAATAGAAGCAGAGAATTGGGCAGAAGTGGAGTGGGAACGGGGACGAGAGAGTTTATTTTGAAATAGGGAGAAATAACTTCCTATGTTGATGGAATGACCAGTAGAGAGCGAGAAATACATGATGCAGGAGGAAGAGGACAGGCCCAGAGCGGTGCCCAAGATGGAGCACGGCACACGGGCGGGCAGGCAGGTGCAGTGGCCCAGGGAGCCTGGGGACGTTCCCTCTGTTTCCTCATGGAAGTAGGAAGCAGGGCCATGGGGTGCGTGTGAGGTTGGATGAGGGAGGGTGACAGGTGTGATGGAGAGCTTCATTTACAGTGAAATGAAGTTTTAGCTGAGGCCCACGTCCCTGCCATGGGCCTTGGCAATGGGCTCACACGTTCCCAGGTTTTATAAAGTGTGCAAGAACGAGACACTTTCACTGCAGCTGGTTGAAACTGGCTCTTCCTTCCATTCCCGCGTCCCATCCATCGCACATCCTCTTCTGTTGGGTGGTGCTGAGGCCACATGGGCATTTTGGGGATTTGGCTAAAGGGAAGTTGCGTGGGGGACATACTTAGTTCGGAATTAGTGGGATATGTTTGTGTGGTTTGCCGTCACTTCCATGTTCAGTTGGGTTATTGATGGTCATCCTGGGGTGCGGACGGCTTCCGAGAGACTCCTCCTGCCCGCCGTGCCCATCACCCTGTGGCGTGGAGGTGCAGGGCCGAGGTTGCTGCAATATGAACGTGCCCTACAGAACCTACCAGGGGTAGGTGAGCGAGGAGGAGACAAGGCTTGCAGTGTATGGAGCCAGGTGCGAGTCCATGGGACATTCCAGCAGTCATCGGATGGGCGACCTTCAAAGAGAAAGAGTCGGTTCTCGTCCCTGCCCGCTCACTGCAGATGTTTGCTCTCATCGGGCTGCTCAGCCACACAGCTGGCACAGCTGTGAGCGCACCACACTTTGTCGGTGCGGAGTAGGAAAGGTCAGGCGTTGTGGCCGGGCAGGTCCCAGGACCTTACAGCTCATACAGGAAAGAAACTTGGTAACGGTTTCCCCAAGAGTTCTTGAAATGTATGTCTGTGCCAGTGTGTGTTGTGAAGATGAAAGACACTTTTCTAAAGTATCAATAATTCAAAATAAATTTTGATCAACCTGTCCTGGAGGAAAGACTGAGGACTCTTTCCATTCTTACATATTATGAACTCATTATCCCATGAAGGAAGACCCAGGAGTACAGCCAGACCACGCTGGGCCTCCACACTGCAGAGGCGTGTCACAGTCACGACTGTTGTGTTAATATTCTGGATTTGGTGATGTTTCGGTGTTTGTCTACTTTAAAAAATGTGTAATGTGTTGTGATTGTTTATTCTTCATATTCACTTTTGAACCTAATTTATAGTCATATTTTTTATTCTTTTTCTTAAAGGAGGCGGGGGGCACCAAAATATATAAACTTCAGGCC